TGCGGCTAGGGCTGAGCCCTCCAGGGCCGTGCAGGGCCAAACTTCTCCCAAGCGAGCATGCTCCTGGGCGGGCGCCAGAGGTGGGAAATCAGCACGGCCCCCACCCCCCATGGACACCTCCTGCAGCCAACCGGAGGGAGACGCTCACCAGGACTGGCACAGGGTCCAGACCCAGTTTGGTGTCACGGTTAAGTGCAGGCGGATTCTAATCTGGGAGGACCGGGTTTCATTCCCCACTCCTCCTCCACTTGCACCTGGCTGGATGATCTTGGGTCAGTCACAAGTTCTCTCGGAGCTGTTCTCTCAAGGGCAGTCCTCGAAGGAGCTCTCTCGGCCTCACGGGATGCCTGTTGTGGGGAAGGGAGATTGTCAGCTGCTCCGAGACTCCTTCGGGTAGTGGAGGGCGGGGTGTAGATCCAATCCCCTCTTCTTCCCACACAAGCCTTCAGGAGGCCCGGAATCCGCCGGTGGTGTGTTCCCTGCCCCTCTTGACCTGACTTTCAGCCAGGACTCTGGTGGGGGCTGCTTCCGGGCCCACCCCTGCTGGAAGCTGCAGGGAAGCAGGGAGGGCACACAGCAAAACCCACCCTTGGTAGGAAGGCAGGTGGGAGCCTGACTCCCCAAAGCTCAGAGACCTTGTGGGTCTTTAAGGTGCCCCGGGCCTCACACGGTGGCACCCACGGACTCCCGCGATGGGGGGGGGGGGGCTTTGCCACTCTCCACAGGACGGGGGGGGGACCTGATGTGGGATTCAGTGTCCAGCCCCACCGGAAAGCACACCCGCGCTGCGCATGCACGGGGGGTGGGGGTGGGGGCAAGACGGCCTTCTTGCAGATGGAGAACTGATTCGGCTGCTAACGACACCAGCCACAGCCGGACGGCATGGCGTCTCCATTCCAAGGAGGGGGACAACAGGAACTAGAAACCCTGCAAAAGAAAATGGACCCCAGATGTGGCCAGCCGTCGGCCCGGATTCCTTCTGAACCACACAAGGCGAGAGCACCACCTACTGGCCAGGAAGAGAAGAAATGGGACCACGCTCTATTGTGTGTACGTGTGTGTGTGTGGGGGGGGGGAATAAAGCGACAGAGCTTGCCTTCCCCCCTCCCCGCCACCCACTCTCCTCTGCAATTGGCGTAGCAAGCCAGTGAATGCTTGGGAGAGCTGGTAGAACAGAAGATATACCGATGTTGGATCAGGCCAAAGGCCCATCCCGTCCGACACTCTGTGTCACACAGTGGCCAAAAAGACCAGGGGCCATCAGGAGGTCCAGCAATGGGGCCAGGGTCACCAGGGAGCCCTCCCACTGCTGCCCCCCCCAAAGCACCAAGGAGACAGAGCATCTCCTACCTATACCTTGGGGCTAAGAGCCACTGATGGATCTCTGCTCCATAGGCTTATCCAATACCCTCTTGAAGCCCTCCGTGCTTGTAGCCACCGCCACCTCCTGTGGCAGTGAATTCCACGTGTTCATCACTCTTTGGATGGAGAAGGACTTCCTGTTATCCGTTCTGATCCAACTGCTCAGCAATTTCATGGAGTGCCCACGAGGAGTTCTCGTATTGTGAGAAAGGGAGAAAAGGACTTCTTGCTCGACCTGCTCTGTCCCAGGTGTCATCTTATCAACCTCGATCATGTCACACACCCCCTCAGCCATTGTTTCTCCAAGCGGAAAAGCCCCAAGCGCTTTGACCTTCCTTCATAGGGAAAGTGCTCCAACCCTTGTACCGAGGAGGAACACACAACGCTCAGAACGGAACTGAATATATTCACCCGAGTGCAGTGCCGAGAGAGCCAGATGGAACGCCCGGGACTCCCTGCAGAAGCAGAGCAGCAGGTGGCCGGGTGCCTTTTCTCCCCTCTCCTGCAAAGAGCCGGGG